AGGAACACTCAGCAGCCTGAGTGCACAGCTCCATGATGTAATGGGTGTGTAAGGAGGAACACTCAGCAGCCTGAGTGCACAGCTCCATGATGTAACAGGTGTGTAAGGAGGAACACCCAGCAGCCTGAGTGGACAGATCTACACTTCTAAAACCAAATTTTGTAATTCCAGTTAAAAAGAAATGAAACCTTTCGGTTTACAAAACAATCACAAGTTAATAAGTAAGAAAAATGTTTTGAGGCAGTGTGAACCATCACATTCCACCCTGCTAAGAATGCCTGCTAACTGCCCATGGAATTTCCAATAATGGACACGAAAAGACTGCAACTCCTCAGACAGTATAAGTACTTAAGATTTAACTTTACTCCATGGATCCGGACATATTTAGACACTGACTAGAGATGTACGTGAAGACATCTATGCCATGAGCTCAGCCTCTCTCTCTGTCTTCTCCTCTGACCTCACCACCCACCCAACATTGCATTCCTCTCCCCCATATTTGTACGTTCAATTATATTTTCAGTTTTTAAATATGTAATTGGCATACTTAACTATCTGCAGAACGGGGATAGGTAAGATGGATCATTTAATTTTAGTTAACAATATAAGATAGAGACGTCACCTTAGAAAAGAAAGGGTTTTTAACAAATGCCAGACACAAAACAGAAAAGAAATCAGAGATTCTTGGGAAAGGAATCAAATTTTTAATACCCAGCAAGAGTACAAGATATGTCAATATAGCTAAAGGTATATAACATGTGTATTTAATAATGTTTTATTACAAATATAACTACAGCTAATGTTTTATTACAAATATAACTACAGCATTGCATATAAAAACATATGTGTGGTAAAATAAAGAATGCTGCAATATTTTCAGGACCTGGAGAATAGGCACACTGTTGGTGCCCCATTGCTAGCCTACTTGATTGGTCTGCAGGCTAGCTCAAACCAGAGACAGCTCCTACACCATCAGAGTGCTCACTCCGGAAGGTTCCAGAAGTGCTGACTTCTACTTCAGCAAATCACAGCTTAGGAGATGTTTTGAAACTTACCTCACAGCAAATTTCATACAGCAGAAGGACAATGCTAAAGGATTATAAACACACATTTTGTATTATTTTAAAGGACTCACTTGGCTTCCTGTAAAAATTTGATTTTTAATTCCTGAGGAAGATCTTCTTTGCACGTTTTAACAGCAACAGCAGTTTTATCCTTTAGTGTCCCTTTATATACTTCACCAAAATTCCCCTGGAAATAAGAATATAAGCATTGTTTGGCATGTTTGACAGCCCATAAATCTTTGCTAAAAATTCAAGAAAGCACCAAATGAAGTACTGTGAGTTAATCAAACTATTGTGCTGTTCATTCCCAGCTCTTGGTTGTCATGAGGATGGACGTCAGTCCTCCACATTACCACAAGTTAATCTTTGGCTTCAGCAAAAGGAGAACTCGACATTAACTTAACATGGCCTTATGTATGTAGGCTTTCTTCCACCAACTACTTTATGCCTTAAGCACTGTATTTTATTAAATTAAAAGATCATCCTGATTATAGAAAAAGCAAAGATTCTGAGAGGAAACTGCTGGCATTGATCCTACCAACCATGTCTTCTGTAGAAATAGGTTGTTGACCAGGGTGGACAGCGGCTTTCTCGAGCATCACTATGACCAATGGTGAACCAATATTCATCACATGTACGAACACTGCTAACTTCCCTCTATAGCTAGCATCTACTTTGATATGTATACCTTATAGACAATGTGCGTAGGAAGAGAAGAAATCCACACTCCAGGGAAGATCAGCATGACTATCACCCTCTCAAAGAGCTAGTTTTCAGTACTCCCTAGGTTATTACTGTCCTGGGTTCTTTTAATTCCCAGCGTTGAGACCTGGTCCTTCAGCTCTTTCCACTCTCCCTCATCATGGCTGTCACCTACTGAAAGTACCTTTGCTCACCGGCCCTTTGAACTCAAGTGTCACTGTCTCTCTACCCACTCAAACATGGCTAAAGACCTTAGCCCTGCTGCTGAATTCACTGTAAATTCACACACAAAGACATTTAAGGGTCTCTACTGCGGCTTGGCTACTTTTTCTAGATCATTTGAAATCCCAGTCTTTTGGACAACTGGTTCGCCCTCTACGCTTTTTTCAATACTCCCTTCATTCTTAGCTGATGATGTCACTTCTGAAACAAAAACAAAATAAAAGAAACCTCAAAGTAATCTCCCTGGAGTTATGGACTCTCAGTGGCATATTCACCTACCATCTTTGTTCCTGAGTTACAAAGGCCATGTTGTGTTTATGTGTAAACACTGTGTGTTAATGTTCCACTGTGAGCATCACATGCTGTCCTTACTTAGCTGTAGCAATTCATAACACTCAATCCTAAAGCCTTCAATGAGCTCTTTCCCGGCTACAGACCAAGATGCCATTCTTCTACAAAGTAACTGACCATACAGCCACCATGCCTTGGCTCCCTTTGCAGCAGAGTCAGACTTACAGGCCTCTCTTAAACTACCCTGATTGGGTGGTAACAAGATTGCCAGCCATCACCACTGGCATCTTGCAAACCCAGCACTTAATTCTCAGCACCCCCCCACACACACACACACACACACACGGCAGGAGTCTCGACTCCCTGGCTTAGCTTCTGATTCTCCACCCCTGACCCCAGGCAGCAGCCTCCACTCCGCTCTTAGTCTCTAAGGTATAATAACAGTTCCTGGTTTTCTGCCTTCCTAATTGGTTACTTTCTTCAACTCCCTCTGAGGACTGCTTTTTCTTCTCCTAGCCTCGTGGTGCTGTTATGACCAGGGCTCATTTCTTACCCTCTTCTTTATCCAGGCCCACTCCCAACTACTATTCTGGAACAGTCATCTTGTTTAACCTCAGCACTTGTTAGTCAACTAGCTTTCCTCACTGTCATGCAGAAATCTAATAGATTAGAACATTTTCTCTAATTAAAAATATTTTTCTTAGTATTGAAAAAATCTGTCCTTGTAAACACAGTCTACTTCAGTATTTTAGTGTTGAATTAAATTTATCATTTAATTGTATTTTCAAGGAAATTAGTTTCTCTAAGTTTGGACCAAACTGCTTCAATTGGGTTACTCAAGCATTTCTATGATCGTATTTAAGACTATTTCCTTCTGCATTAGGAGAGCACTCAGAGTAAACGGAGCTGCTCTTTTAGCTTAGGTTCTTTAGAATTAACTCATAGAAATGTATTAGCAAATAAAACCTGTTTTACAACAGCAACTAGACACTTCCACTTGGAGAAGGCATGTAAATAAATAGCAAGTGCAAAAGTCCTACAAAGGGGAGGACTTCAACAAGGGCCTGTGGCCTTAATAAACTGCATGTTTTTGAAAATTGGGAGAAATGGTCACGTTCACTTTAGAATAAAGATGGATCATTTATTACTTTACTTAAAATGCCAGACTTCAGTTGAGTCTAGCATGGATCACTCATAAATTATATAAACTTTCCAATAACAATATCTGAATTTTACCTGTTTTTCACAGTGCATCATGAAGCTAAATTCGACTCAAATTTCACACAGAAACATTCACAATTGTCACTGGCAAACTACTATGTATTCACTAGAATCTGAATAATAATGATTGGCAGATCTGTGAAGAGTCTATTTGACTAGCCTGCCCTTATTGTTGGAAACGATGCTTTTTAATACAGACTATGATTTGGAGGAGACTTCCAACTAGATTACAGGAAAAGGAACTTTCACTCTATAAGACTTGTCCTTACCCACAACTAACAGAGCCAATTACAAAATAGGTACTTGAAATGAAACACATCTTGTCCACAATATTTAAATAAATTTGTGTTTCCTGTGGGGGAGTGTGTACGTTCCACACAGCACATGTAGAGGTCAGAAGCTGGTTCTCTCCTACCATGTAGGTTCCTGGCAGTGAACTCAGGTGGCCAGGCTTGGTGGTAAGCACCTCTATCCCTATACCATCTCCCCAGCCCTTGGCCACATTATATTTACATTATGATAAAGTGGCGTTATGCACTTTCCTGATATTCCAAGAAGCAACACTTCACTTTTTCTGAATTACTGAATACCAGTGGAAGAAGACTGACTGGTGAAGGTCCATTCAAACTTTCACTGCCTCACAGCTTCTTTCCTTCATTCAATAGTTTCTGGTTTTAATAAAACCCTGATGGCTATGACCTTCCAGGGAAAATACACACTATTTTTAAAGATAAAATCATCATAAGCCTTTCTAAGACCATCACATATCTATTTCAGGGAAAGTCAGAAGATTTCTAGGAGATATGATACTGCCTTCTTCTAGATTAATTAATTAATACACATGCACCTTGACATGAGACAGAATATTAAAAAATGCTTTGAATAGCAATATGAAGTGTTCATGGTTAATATGAAAATCTCTTATTTAGCTCAGCTGATTGCATACCTTGCCCAGTAATGCTCCCAATGTAACATCTTCATGATTGAGAATCCATTTCTTATCCTACAGCAAAAAGAAAGAAAAAGATGAATTGTTAATCCATGCAAGAATACAGTTACTGTAATTCCTTTGAGGAAGTAAGTGCAGCCAACAGCACACTAAGCAGCTGTAACTTCAACCTGATACAAAATAGATCTGGGAGAGGTTACTGTACTGTCAGAGAGTAAAATCAATATTGTAGCAAAACTGTTTCAGAAACTACAGCTTCAAAACGAAACTATACCAACCTGAGAGCAACATACAAGGTGTGCTTTGCACCTACCACAAAGCCACGACTATGTGAATGTCTTTTTTAAAAAGTTGTGTTATAGTTAGTACATCACAGAGTTTCACTTTACCATGAAAATTTTCCAATTCTCACTTATCTTCAAAACATTCTCTTCCATGAACCACATTCCTAAGAGTTAATTTTTATGCATGCAAACATTATGACTTGCAGCTTTCTGTGACATTGCTCATAGTTTCATATCTTCCCCAGCCTTTCCTATAGCATAACAAAACAATAAGCATCAAGTATAATACCACTAGGATGTGCAAGACCGTGATATGAACATGCCATTGTAAAATGGTGTCTCCTCGTCTGAGTGCAGGAACCAACTACCAAGAAGGGACTATACCAGTGTGCAAAACCATGTAGGTACAAAATCACACGAAACTATAATGCTAGAATGGTAAATAGATCCATCTTAAAAGAAAGAAGGGCTGGGCGGTGGTGGCGCACACCTTTAATCCCAGCACTTGGGAGGCAGAGCCAGGTGGATCTCTGTGAGTTCGAGGCCAGCCTGGGCTACCAAGTGAGCTCCAGGAAAGGCGCAAAGCTACACAGAGAAACCCTGTCTCGAAAAAACAAAAACAAAAACAAAAACAAAAAAAAAAAAAAAAGAAAGAAGGAAAAAAGAAATGCAAGTGGTTTGAAAATGTCCTCTGACAGTCATTTGAAGTACTCCATTTTTACAAATTCACCTATCACTCTCTGACAGACAAGTTACCCACAGGCCACTTTGTTTTTAAAGTGCAACTTACATAAATAATATTTCAATCTAAATGTTAAGCTAAAGCGATGGAGATTAAGAGACGTAAGGAGAACTATCAGGGGCCATGTGAGGGGACTAACAGGCAGAACTGGAACTCATGGAACATGGCTGGGTGGTTGGCGAAGCCATGCCTGAGTGAGCATTGGAGAGGCAAAACCCCCAAGGATTCTGTGTCCTCATTATGTTATTGAGCACAGCTCTGACAGTTGCCTTCGTGGGACCCACCTCCCCCATGATCTATGGGTTGTATGCCTTTTGTTGGAGGAGATGCGTCACTGAGGGTCAGTTTCAAAAGTCCACACTAGGTCCAGGCTTGCTCTCTCGCTGCCCCATCTTGCAGATAAGATATAAGCTCTCAGCTACTGCTCCAGTCCCATGCCTACCTGCCTGCTGCCACGATGACTGTGGACTAACCATCTGAAACTGTAAGCAAGCCCCCAGCTAAATGTTTTAATTGCTAAGTTGTCTTTTCACAGCTATAGAACAATAACTAAGACAGAAGACTTCTTCTAACAACTAAAACAAACTCAGAAATAATTTCCAAATACACTCAGTAACTAATCAATATATGTATTAATAATCCATAGATGTTTTTTAGGGTTTTGGAAAATTGGGTACAAAATTGACTAAAAAAATATGAAAATTTATCAGAAATTGTAGGATATAGCTAAACATTATTTAAAGGGAAGTCTATAATATATCATAGGCATATTCAAAAACAAAAGAGTTCTCAAGTCAATGACTAAGATACGTACCTTAAAGACATAGCTAAAAGGAAATCTAATGCTAGAGGAGGCAATACTAAGCACAACAGAAATCAGCAATAATCTTTAAAGATCCAAAGCGATAGAGAACTGACTTAATGCTTGGCTGTGTCTTTGCTCATAGTTAAGACCGAATCTGACCCACGTACAAAGTTTCCACTAGAAACCAGGAGTGACTTCTTTCCAGACTGATTTCATGGCAAGATAATGTAGTCAACAATAATTTCAAAGTCACTTAAAGATGTATTTAAATAATGTTACTGCAAAAAAAAAATCACTTTTTTTCTTGGCTAAATGCAAGAAATATCCTTGAGCCTCTTGGCAGATGTCAGAGATGCCAGAAGTGTTTGAGGCTCCGATTCCCTGAACTGGATCCTAAATGATTTCAGACCTACCTCTTCAGAGTAGAGGAATGTACGAGTACCAGCAAAGATCCATCACAAATACAATCTCTGACCTGGGTGGATACCTTACCACTCCAGTTGGTAGGGTACGTAACCCGGCTAATGGATTGATCACCCCTTGGAAGGTGGGCTCTATGAAAGAGATTGCTGAGATAATTTTCCCTTTGTTGAGATGCTATGATTCCTTCGTGGAATCCCCACCTGAGTGGAGTCCCTGCAAGCCGAGCAGCCATGAAGTTTCAGCTGGACCAGCCTGCCTTTCTGAATCCTAAGAAAGGTGTAACTTTTCCTTTTTGTCTGGTTCTTTCAGATGCTGGCCAGAAGCTATGTGTGGTCTCTGGCCTCCATTACTCTTCCTCTAAAGTTCCCCTCCCTTCCACAAGCTGCCTATCTGCCATGTGGTTGGCCTCCATGCTGCCTTAAACAGCATGCCTATTTTTCCTTTCTCTCTATCCTCCTTCTCCAGAAGGTTTCTGAGATTTGTAGCTTGCTTGTCTTGGGATGTTTTTATTTTAAACTTTACTGAGTTTGTCTTCCAGACTTTTTTAAGGTAATGTGTAAGATGATAACTACACTGGTCAGCCTGATACAAGCGTCCACAGCGCACCTACAGCAAAGCACCACAATGCTTACCTTCCTTGGTGATGACCTGCTTCTTCTAAATCAAGCAAGACTTACAAAGAAAAGGGTCTGTTTTTATCAGAATTTGGTAGCTTCAGTTTTTGTTAAAGTGTGGGCTGAGAGACAAACTCTCGGTCTGTTCAGTTGGATGAAGAGGGGAGTACTGGATACGTACCCCCAGAAGGGGATTACCTAACACCTCCCTTAGACAGTGGGTAGAATATTCTTATGGAGGCTGATGAGTAGATGAGAAAGGCAAGGAAGCCTGGTTATACAAAGATATTAACATTTTCCCAAACCTGTGGAGTGTACACAGGCATAGAACCCATAGATTATGAGGGATATGGTGAGTGCATCATGAAATTCAAAAGTAAAAAAACTACAGAACAGGAGGCTAGGTAACATGAAGAACGAATGGACTGTTTCTGGAGGGGCAGGAATTCCTGACTTTTCTTTATTTCTGCCACCCACTTCTATCTATCTCCTTTTCTAATCAAAGTCATACTCTGAAGTGGTGGTCAAAAAAAAAAAAAACATTCCAACACATGCCCACAAATAAAGTGATTTCCCCCTACATTTCTGCTTTCTTCCTTTGTAGTTTTCTGAAAGAGGTAAGGGGGCTCATGTAGCTTTCTTCAATCCCAAAAGTACAGAATGAATAGAGAGAGTCTGCTTCTGATCCTTCCAGACATGGGCAAAGTGGCTTTCTCTCACACTTGACGTGTGTCAGTAAGGAAGGAAAATGAAGCCTGTGAGGGGCGGCTTGGCAGCTGAGAGCAAGTGTTCTTGCAGAGGACCCAGGAGTGAGTCCGACCACCTACAGGCAGCTCTCAAGCCATCTACAACTCCAGGCCCCTCGGATCCAACACCTTCTGCTGGGCTCTGCAGCACGTGTCATGCCGTGCATAGACAGACATTTAGACAAACACCGTACATGGGAAATAACACATCTGTATAAAAGAGTGCAATAAAATATGCCATCGACAGAGACACAGCCGTAGAAGGTGCACAACAGTGATACACAAAGCTGACACAGTTTTATTTAATGGCCATCTGCTTGCTAGTGATTTGTGACCTTATTAAAAACCCACAGACCTACGTTCAAACTCTAATGATTATGCTTGTCTGATGTTGAGCTTCAAGAGATCTGGCTTAGATATTTAATGTGTTTCTAATATTAGGATCCCATCCCTTTGGTGTGTTCATGAATACTAATGTATCATTACTATGGCAAAAGAAATCAATATCCATTTCTCTATTTATTAATTCTATCTCAACACCCAAAACTAAGTTATTTTGAAACATAAGATTCAAAATAAAATCTCCAGTTTAAACCTTGTTTTGGTTTAAACTGGAGATTTTATTTTTTTAATATATTTTTTGCTATTCTTTGAGAAATTCTCTTAAAAACCACTGGAGGTTAACTCATTTCACAGTATCCACAAATCAAAGAAATTAAGAATTGCTAGAAGGTTTAAGATTGGCCTACATAGAGATACAGGCGATCTCTTTGATTTGTCTAAATCAAAGCTTATATAAAATTCCTCTGGATATGTTTCCACATACACTTGCTGAATCTGGGAAGAATGCCCCGTTATGTTGGAACTGCCTAGAAAGGCATTGTTTCCACATTCTCTAGATGAAAAAACGGAGGCTTGAGAGGTTAACGCTGTCCAGGGTCCAAGGCACTCAGTGACAGAGCTAAGAAGCTTGTCCTTTGTCCCTTCTCCTGTACTTCAATATGGAAGCGCCACCACCACTGAGCGACAGAGTTGGTCAGGGAATTCAGCACTTCAGACTGTGCTGAGTGTAAACCACATTCCTAAGAACACTACCACTAGCTGAACTGGAAGATCAAAGAACTGCCTGCATGTATGGACTGAACAAATGCCACGCCATTTCTCCTATCCTGGTACCCATCCACACACATCATAAATGAGTGTCCTTTACAGAAAGTCAATTCAGGCCAACAGGTCTGAAGTCTCACTTAGACCCGTGACCATTATAACAAATGTAAAATGGATTTCAAAATGGCTTTTCATTTTGGTAAAGAACTGGAGGGTCAAGAAGCAGCCCTGAGAATCAAATTATCCCGAGCCAACAACAGAAGATCTTGAGTCAGGCCAGGCTGGGATACACAGACATTCTGCCTAGAGCACGCCAGGATGATCTTCAGAACA